GGATTTGGTTCCAGGGATTGAGCATTATTTCATTTTCTTGGAAATACAAAAGCTCTGTTCAGTGTGCTCCAGCATAGACCTTGGGTCCCAGCACTGGCCACTAACTGACATTTACCACTGGACAGTATCAGGGGAAATTAGTAGAGACTTTGTTATAAACCCCTGCATGTAATTTTCTCATACACAGGGCACTCCATTAGTCAGGGCCCCCTTGAACCAGGTTTTGGGTACCAATTATAGGTGGTTTTGACAACATCTGGCTTATTAGTGTTTTTACCTCTGTTTGCCTTTGTTTGTAAACATTGTTGTTGTTATTTGCTCTGCTGGGCATTTTGCTTGAAAAAAAAAACCCCTTTATTTTAGCCCTAATGTGTCAGAGAGCGCTGTATGGCCTAGAAGGTCATTGACACCAGGAATAGGCTCCTTTGGTGGTAGCGCTAGGTACTGTATATATCGGTACTAAATGGCAAAGAAACAAGACAGTTATCCCAACACAACAGTCAAAGAGCATCTTCAGTTCACCTTGCAGACAGGAAGAACCGTTTGATATCTTTCCCACGTTTATTCTTCAAAAAGGTAAGAAAAATCCTCCGTGCAAAAGAATGCAAATACAGCACAGAAGTTCCAGTCTGGTAAACATTTCCAAATGTTTGTTGGTTCACACAGTCATTCATCTTTGGGTGGAAATATTGCTCTGTTAAGAGCCCCACCTTTTTAAAGGATTGGTGGTTCCTTAGCTAAATGCAAAACCTGTACTGGAATTCCAACCAAGGGAACCCACCTATTCTATCCCTGGCCAGACTCTAGAATCTAGAGTCTTGATGAGGCAGATATCCATTCTCGTCTGTCTACCTCAGCCTTTCACTTAAAAAAAAAAATAAAACACAAATTTGGAGTCTCATAGACATATACTACATGATTAAGGGATACCACTGTTTGGATTGATCGAACTACTCTGCCGGTAGTTGTATAATTCTGCCTACCTTTCTACTTATACTGCTCATGTACTTAAACTCTTTTTTCTCTTTATTTCCCCTCTTTTTTTTCCTTTATTCTACATGACTGTACTTTCTGAAATGTACATTTCAATTGTGCCTTGTTTCTGTTTTATATACCGTTGGAAGCTGTAATGTCATTTTACAGTCTATTTCTTGAAAAATAAAATCGTTTGTAAACAAAAAAAACAAAACAAAACACAAACTGGGTGGTAGTCCAGGACTACCACTTGCTTCTCCTGAGCAGGGGCGGACTGACCATTTGGAAACTCGGGCACTGCCCAAGGGCCCGGGTTCAGTAGGGGGCCCCATGAGATGCCCCTGGTACCTTTTTTCATAGGCTTTTTTGAGTTCTGGCAAGGACACAGGGGCCCATGATCCCCTATTGCCCGGGGGCCCCATGAGTTGTCAGTCCGCCCCTGCTCCTGAGGCCAGTTTTTGACATTGAGGCCCATTTCACTCAAATGCTCTGATCAGGTCCCCCTGTCTGTTTTTCAGAACCTCCATTCTTCTCTATGGAGCTGCGGGTGTAATCGGACATGTGTCCATTTACACCTGCCGGGGATCTGTTTCCCTTCCCTACAACTGATTGGATCGGATGGCAGTTGAGTGTAAACAGACAGGCAGTCCGTTTACATCTGACCGCCCATAGAGGAGAGCAGGCCGTGTCCATGTCCATTCTGCATAAGCGGAGTGGACGCAAACCTGTCAGCGGACTGATCCTGTGCTGAGCAAATGGATCGTAGCCAGAGTCTGTCCCGTGTGAAAGGGACGAAAGTGAAATTCAATGCTAAACTAACAAAGCTCCCACCCCAATTATAACACCCAGTGGCGTCTCTAGGGTTGGTGGTGCGCTAACACTTGGTGACACCTCCTCCGACGATCCCCGCAGGATGGATCGGATCTACAAATTGAACATAATGGATCGGAGTCCGATCCATTATCCTCCCCAATCCGCAGATCTGATCCATCCTGCTGGGATCGTCGGCTTGCAACCTATACGGGGTTAACTGATCACTCCACGAGCTCCACAAAAAAGTAAGTTTTAAAGAAAGCCCCCCTCCCTCTCTCTCTGCCTTCTCTCTCTTCTCTCTCTCTGTCCTCTTTCTTCCCCCCATCTCTCTCTCCCCCCCTACCTACTACGTGAAGCTGCAGTGCTGTCACCAGGGTTGGGGGATTACATTGACCTGCTGCATACTCTGCCTGCCCCTTCAGCTCTCTGACTTCAGCACCCGTGGCAGGGATGTGCGCCCGCCCCTCTGCTGAAACTCCGAGGAGGAGAGGTGTCTGAAATGCCTGCCTCACTGTCCGTCCCCTCAATGCTTGCTTATTTCAGAAATGGCACATACAAGGATGGACTAAGCCTCTCATGGGGCCCTGTAGTGACCCCAGGCCCTTGGGCAGTGCCTGAATGGTCAGTCCGCCCCTCGTGGAGAGGGTCCGGTGTCACCCCGTGGAAAAGGTGTCACCCGGTGCGGCGCGCACCCCTCGCACCTACCTATGGATGCCCCTGATAACACCTATACTAACTACCCTGTAAAAAAGAAGATCACCTCGGTGGCTGGCTTTAGGGGAGAGGAGAGAACACTCACAATAGATGGAATTCCTGGGCAGTGACGTCACCCATGGGCATATTATGGGACTTCCGTAGCCAGCTGTCCCTCCTCTCCCCTTAAGCCAGCCACTAGGAGCCAATCATATGATTGGACTGGAGTGTTCTGAGAATAGGTAAGTACAGTTGTGCTAAAAAGTTTGCATACGCTGGCAGAAATAGTGAAATTTTGGTATTGATATTGAAAATATGACTGATCATGCCCCAAAAAACTGTCTTTTATTTATGGACAGTGATCATTGAAGCAATTTATTATCACATAGTTGTTTGGCTTCTGTTTAAATCATAATGATAACAGAAATCACCCAAATGGCCCGGATCAAAAGTTTCCATCCATTGGAATGTTTGGCCTTGGTACAGACACACAAGGTGACACACACGGGTTAAAATGGCAATTAAAGGTTCATTCCCCACATCTGTGGTTTTTTATATTGCAATTGTGTCAGTGTATAAATAGTCAATGAGTTTGTTAGCTCTTACGTGGATTCACTGAGCAGGATAGATACTGAGCCATTGGGAGCAAAAAAGAACTGACTAAATACCTGTGTAACAAGCTTTTGGAATTTTATAAGATTGAAAAACTATATAAAAATATACCCAAACCCAGTACTGTTCAATCACTTTTTAAGGAGTGGAAAATTGGGGATCTTCCAACTTTTGATCAGAGCCATTTGCGTGATTTCTGTTATTATTATGGTTTTAAAAGGAACCAAACAACTATGTGATAATAAATGGCTTCATATGATCACTATTCTTCAATAAAATAAATAAAAGACAGTTTTTTGGCATGATCAGTCATATTTTCAATATCAATGCCAAAATTCACTTTCTTCCAGGGGATGCAAACTTTTGAGCCCAACTGTATATGCATCTTCCTCTTACAGGGTAGTTAGTATACATTTTAAAAGGGGGGTGGGAGCAGTTTTAACCACTTCCCATCCGGCCGTTGTATACGGCCGGACGGTGGCACTGCAGGGTCGGGTAGCCGTTTATAAACGGCCTCCCCGCACCCTGCTTGTGCGCGCTCCCTGGGAGCGCGCAGCACCGCGATCCAGTGCTCGTTGTGCCCTCCAGACACAGTGAAACACCGATCGTGGGACGGGACCTCTGTACGATGTCCCGATCATGTGATCACTGATTGGCCAATCAGTGTAGTTTTCAATGAACCACCCTGGTGCTGTGGAGCGCCATGGTAGTTTATTGAAGCTTCCTGTCAGAATATCTGCTTGCTCAAACTTCTAGGGTTGCCACCTCATCCCTTTAAAACCGAAAACATATTAATGACACAGGTTCTGAGCCTAATTTATTGCAGATCAGGCACTACGTGATTTTAATTACCACCTTAATCAGCGCCAGAACCTGTGTAATAAATATGCGTTCCATTTTAAAGGGATGAGGAGGCAACCCTAGATGTATGGCAAGCAGATATTCTGACAGGTCTGCAGGAGACCTGCATGGCATCAACGATCTGCTGATCACTGGTGCAATGCTTTCCAGGCTCCTTTGGAAAAAAATAATAATCGCACATTTTTTTATCTACAAAAAAATGTGCATTTATTATTTTTGTCCAAAAGGTGAACTTATCCATTAAGCTTAGTTAGTGTTAACCCACATCTTCAGTGTGGGCACCCGGCTGTGACAGCTTGCGGCTTCACAGCTGGGTACCCACTGCACATGTGTGAATAGCACTGCACTTTGTGAATGGCCCCGTAGTCTTCTTGGATGTGTCCCAGAAGACTACGGGGAGGGAGGGGGGAGGACAACTTCTGCTTCCGATCGCCTTAGACAATCGCAGGAACAGGTACCTGTCAAATTCAGTGGAGCTCTATTTTAAGGCTCCATGCACGCTAGCTTTTTTTTAACCACTTCAAGTCCGGACACTTTCACCCCCTTCCTGTTCAGGCCAATTTTCAGCTTTCAGCGCTATCTCACTTTGAATGAAAATTGCGCGGTTATGCAACACTGTACCCATATGAATTTTTTAGCATTTTTTTGAGACAGATAAAATTTTATTTTGGTGGTATTTATTCACCACTGAGATTTTTATTTTTTTTGCTATATAAATGAAAAAGTCCAAAAATTTTGAAAAAAAAGGTGTTTTTCTTATAAAATTTTGCAAATAAATAATCTTTCTTTATAAATCTTGGCCAAAGTTTATTCAGTTATCTTTTTAGTAAAAAAAAATAACCCAAATTAGTTTATAACCAAAAATGATAATTTTTCATTTTTTTTTACATTTTTATTTTATTTTTTTATATTATTATTTGTTTTTTTTGGGTTTTTTTACATACTGTCACCCTAGCAGTACAGTCTCACCATAGGGGGGTTATGAGGATTTTTTTTTTTTTTTTTTTTACACACTGATTGCTTTTACACCCATAAAGGCTGTAAAAGCAATCATTTTTTCTTTCTCTCTGGCCATTGAGAAATACTGTGTGAGCTGTGATTGGTCGCAGCTTGTCACATGGTACAAGGCTGTTGTGAATAGCCTTGTACCATGTGACCTCTGTGATCATTCACAGATTTCACACTTAGTAAGCAATGAAGTCAGAAGTGACATCTTGCTTACTATTCTTCATGTGATCACTGATTGGCCAATCAGTGATCACATGATCGGGACCTAATTTAGAGGTTCCGTACAATGATCGGTGTTCATAGGACACAACGGTCAACGTATCGCGATGCTGCTCGCTCACAGGGAGCGCGCACAAGCAGGGGGTGGGGAGTCCATTTATAAACGGCCACCCACCCCTGCACTGCTCCCTTACGGCCGTTTATATACATGGGCCGGACGGGAAGTGCTTAAAGTAGAACTTCCCCTTTTGGGTGGAGCTCCGTTTTAAGGTTCCATGCACACTAGCGTTTTTTTCAGCAAAAAAAAGCTGGATAAAAACCCTGGTTATCACATTTTTAGTAGTGTTATAGTGGCATTTTAGTAGTGTTTAGACGCGTTTAGCGGCATCAGTATTTTTGTTTGTGTTTTTACAGTACATGTAGAAAAAAAAAGATGTTAGGAGTGTTTTAGTAGCTTCTAGGAGCAGAAAAAAATCACTAGTGTGCATGCAGCCTCTGTATTTTCTATATGCAATAGTTCCCTTTAAGAAGGACAGCTTGTAATCCTTCCATAAAATGACTGATTTTAACAGAGTGATAAAGCGAAGCCATTTTTTGAGACAAGATGTTTTTGATGCAATTTACCCTCGTCATACAGGCATACTCAATGATGTATTGATTAATGTCCCGCACCCTACAGCCCTTTTAACACTAATAAATTAATAAGATAGGCATCCTATAGATCAGATGATAATTTTGTTATAAATCACAAACGTTCGAGGCTGAGATGATTACTGTGAAACCTCAGATTTTGTCATTGTTCCACTTGAAAGCATGCAATTATACCGCCTTAATTGGAGGCACTGATGTATTTTCATCAGGGAGCTTTGTTTGTATTCTAAATAATGAGATCTATGCAAAGGGACCTATGCCATTTTAACTTTGCTGCCTTGGCAGACTTTTTTTTTTTTACATTTTCTTTGTGTTAATAATCTTGACGGTTTTATGGAAATTTGATTCTGACATGTTTGGTTTTGAAAGAGCTACAGTAGTAAGACAAACACATTTCTGCTTTAAAGCCCAAGATCATCTTTTCTTTTTTTTTTTTTTTCAGTTTTTCTACCTCCAACATTCTTGCTGCTTGTCTTTCATTTCTTTACTTATGTTTAATTACCTTTCTTTGCTACTTTTCACGCTTCTTCACTTTGCTGTGTCCTTTCAGCCCTGACCCTCTTTTTTAACTTTTCAGGTTGTTATTTGTCTATGCAGGAGTCCTTCTGAGTAGATAAACTGAAGTTGACTCAATAACTACCAGTTACAGTAGTTTCAGTACAGTTTATATACAGGGGTTGATTTACTAAAGGCAAATAGACTGTGCACTTTGCAAGAGCAGTTGTTCCAGAGCTTAGTAAATGAGCAGATGCTGACTTCCATCATCCAATCACGTGCAAGCAAAAGTGCTTTTTTTTCAATTTTCCTTCCATGTGATCGGGTATTCCTTGCAAAGTGAATTTTTATCTCATTTTCAGAGCTCTGGAGCAATTGCACCTTCAACTGCATCTTGTATGGCGCACAGTCTGTTTGCCCTTAGTAAATCAACCCCATAGTTGGCAAGCATCCCGGATCCTAGGATTTTGGACACTGCTTTCCATTGTCCTTGTACCAGGGCCCAGGGGCGGACTGACCATTCAGGTACTACCCGAGGGCTCGGGGTCAGTAGGGGGGGTCAGTAGGGGCCCCATGAGATGCCCCTGGTACCTTTTCATTGGCTTTTTCATAGGCTTTTTTTGGGTGTGGGCAAGGACACAGGGGCCCCATGATCCCCTATTGCCCGGGGGCCCCAGGAGTTGTCAGTCCGCCCCTGCTCTTCACTTGCTGTGATTGACAGCAGCAGGAGCCAATGAGGAGTGAGAGAGAAGAGGGAGCCACTACTCTTGGCCACAGGTAAGTACTGGGGGCTAGGGGGGGAGAGCTGCACACAGAAGGTTTTTTTTTAAGCATAAAATGCATGAAGGTAACAAAACATTCCGTCTTCAGAACCACTTTATGCAAACCTTACAGGTCTTGTCCCTCCCCTATCTTGTGACTAATAAAGGGCCTACAATAGAAAGTGGCAGCAGGCTGCTGGGGTTTGGAGCATTCTCTGATTTGCAGCATCAGGGGCTGCAATAACTGTCAAGCAAAGTGATCCCAACAGTATAAGTATAGTAGAAACTGGATGAGAGGCAGCATTGCAAGTGCACATGATCAGGTAAATAAATACACTGACCACCAATGAAGAAGAGCATTTCACTGCCATTGACCACCAATGCACGGTGCCATTTAATTGTATTGCCACGGACCACTAAATCAGAGGGGCATTTAAAGAATATAGTAAATAATAAGTAAACCCAACATTTCATTTCCTGATATATGCCTGCTGTATCATGTACTTTTGTGAAAAAATATCCTGTTCTCTATGTATTGCTACCTTTGTTGAAATCCATGGTGTTCATGCCAGACCTCTGCTTTCCTATCAAAAACTGACTACACTAGGCAAGAGAACAAAGCCCGGTCAGTGTTCTGTTCTGACTGGGAGCTAATCAAATGATCAGGTCTGGGCTGACACATACCCCCCTTATAGCAATTGACTGGGAAGTTTAGTGTGCTGTTGTTTCTCCTCATCCAGCTCTCTATACATCTGAAAACACTTATATAACAGGGGAAAAATGTATTTATATTTTTTCCTATATCTATACACACATTTTGCCTTTCATTTTTATTTTGACCACCAATGCAGAGGGACATTTAATAGTCCTGCCACTGAATGACCACCCCCCAATGAAGGGAGGTATTTATTATTACTGCCATTGAGTGAACACCAATGCAGGAGGGTTAGAGCATTTAACAGTAATACCACTGACCGTCAATAAAGGGGGAGTTTCATATTACTGCCAGTAAAGGGATATTTATTTTTGCTCCTGCTGACTCCAGTGCTGGCAGTTATTATTGCCTCCACTGACACCAGTGCTGGGAATTACTATTGTGTCTGCTGATACCAATGCTAAGGGATATTATTGAATCCACTGACAGCAATGATGGCTGAAATGACTGAATGCACTGAAACCAATGCTGGGGGATATTATTGAATCCACTGACACCAATGCTGGGGGATATTATTGAACCCTCTGACACCAATGCTTGAGGATATTATTGCCTCCATTGACACCAGTGCTGGGAATTATTATTATTGTGTCTGCTAATACCAGTGCTAAGGGATATTATTGAATCCACTAACAGCAATGATGGGAGACATTATTAAATTCACTGACACCAATGCTTGGAGATTTTATTGCCTCCACTGATACCCAATCTAGGAATTATAATGATGGCAGAAATTATTGAAACCAATGCTAGGGGATATTATTGAATCCACTGACACCAGTGCTGGGAGACATTATTAAATTCACTGACACCAATGCTTGGAGATTTTATTGCCTCCACTGACACCCAATCTGAGAATTATAATGATGGCAGAAATGATTGAAACCAATGCAGGGGATATTATTGCATCCACTGAAACCAATGCTGGGTGATATTATTGAATCCACTGACACCAATGATGGGGGATATTATTGACTCCACTGACACCAAATCTGGGAATTATAATTGAATGCCAACACAATACTGGGGGATATTATTAACCCTCTGACACCAATGCTGGGGGATAATATTGTAGTTATTGACACCAACACAGGAATTATTATTATGTCTGCTGACACCAATGCTGGGTGAATTTATTGAATCCACTAACACTAGTGCTGGGGTAAGTTATTGAATCCACTGATGACAAGGCTGGGGGGGGGGGGTGTTATTGAAGCCACTGAAACCAATGCTGCGGGAAATGACTGAACCCTTTGACAGCAATGCTGTGGAATATTGTTGCATCCACTGACAACAATGCTGGGGGTTATAATTGTATTCAGTGACATCAATACTGGGGATTGTTATTGCTGGCACTGGAACCAAAAATGGTGCTTATTTTACTCCCAATTTTTCTTTAAGGTACCTCCAGGCCCTATTTTGTCTAAACACATAGCAAAGCAAAGAGAAAAGAATGCTACACTTCAATCCACCATGCATTTTGTTGACCATGCCCATTTTTGGCCACATCTACTTCTTCAATCCACGTCAAGCAGTTATTATTTTGGAAGAAAATGATAGAGATGGTCTAGTAGTCAAGTGTTTTCAGATTCTTGTGATTGGTTTTATGTCTACTTGAAGCCTGTCCCCCAGGGGCGGACTGACAACTCATGGGGCCCCCAGGCAATAGGGGATCATGGGGCCTCTGTGTCCTCGCCCACACTCAAATCACACCCAAAAAAGCCTATAAAAAAGGTACCAGGGATATCTCATGGGGCCCACCACTGACCCCGGGCAGTCGGGCAGTGCCCGAGTTCCCCAATGGTCAGTCCGCCCCTGCTGTCCACTATTCTGCTCTTTGATTTCCAGTATGAATACGTTTCTTAAACATGTTTGAGTGTACATAGGAGGACTAAATGCAGATGCATTTGAATGTATTTATTCTTCATGGTGATGCCAAAATGTGAACCTTGGCTTAAAAACATAATATTTTAAAAAGAAATCTTTGCCGCACTGTCTCCAGTGCTCAATTTGATTAGTTTTAACCTTTCAGCTCCATTGTAAAATAATGCAGTAAATCAAGTAACATAATATTATTTTAATGCATAAACACCACAATATGAATCCTTGCAGCTAAATAATAGGATAATAAGGGAAATGTGTATTTTGACAATGTTAGGGGAACATACTGGCAGACAAAAGGGCCTGAACCTTACAGTCTGAAAGGGAAATTTGAAGAGGAATAAAAAGAGAAGCAGTATGCTGTTTTAATTTATGAAAAGCAATTGAAAAGCTATGCCAAACAGATGTATAAGAATGGCACGGCAAAAGTTGACTTTCAGGATCAACAGTCAGCCTCAAATATCGTCAATGTAACAAATGTGTAATTATTATTTTTCACTGCCATTATTTTTGTTGCCAAACAGATTTTACTTATTATATTATTTTACTTTAGTTATTATTAAATTACAAAGTACCCAGACACAGAAGCTTCCTGTGTTTAATTCAGGGGGTAAGGCCATTCCTACTGTGGTCTTTGGGCACCAAATGGCAGGATTTTCAGTCACAGTTCAGTCACTTTATGACTTTCAAGCAAAAGTATGGTTCAGTTTTGCTCATGGTTCCATTTTCTCAAGCAGAAAATTTCAAA